TAAAAAATAATTAGGGTTCTTTATTTTGGGTGGGAGTAGATTTTGGGGATCAACTCTTGCACCTTGCACATACTAGACACTTTACCACTGACTGCACCCCAGTTCAACCTAGCAGCTTAATTTAGTTTAGTTTTGTTTGTTTTGTGGTCTGAGATGGGTGTCTTGCATATTGCATTGGAAAGTCTGGTCTCAAAACCCTGGGCCCAAGTGACACTCCTGCTTCAGCTTCCTGAACAGCTATGGGCCAATATACACTTTGAATGAATTAAAAAATATTTTTGACCCACAAGAATGTGACAATAGGGCAAGCATACGCTGGTAAGACTTCCTTGGATGAGTTGGAAATAGTCTGGGTTGGTGGCTGTAAGACTCTGGGAAGGAAGATGCAGAAGAGTCAAACTGTGAATGCTTGGCAGGCCACCCTTTCTCTGGTTTGTAAGGAATGTCACTTATTAGTGGGACAGAAGGAGCCTAGAGAGTATTATTATTAGTATTACTATTAATCATTATTTTCATGGTGTATGTGTGTGCACAGTACCATGGTAGGTGTATGAAGAGTAGAGGACAACTTTGTAGAGTTGGTTAATTCCAGGGGTCAAACTCAGGTCACCAGACCTGTGCAGCAAATCTTGTACCTGCTGTGCCCTCACCCAGTCCACCTCATCCAGGACGGTTCTTCACGACATGGAGGAAGAACACTTCCTCTCTGCTTTTCTCACTCTCAATCTCTTCTGTGGTGCTTTTGTGACCCTGAAGGCTACCAGCTCAGGTCTGACACCAAGCCCGGGTCTCAGGGTGTACCTGCTCATGGCTTGCTGATGGTAAACTTCCTGGTGGGCAGCCACCACCACCTGTCCAGTGAGATGCTCCTGTTCTCTGTGTGGGTCCCTGCCCAGCCCACATTACCCACCTGTCCTCTTGGCTTCTTTCTTCTGTGGTGTCATTTGCAACTTTCTACTGCTATCCACAAAGTAATTAAGACTTGAGGCTTGTCTCAAACTCTCCCTACCTCATGCAAGTAACTAAGCCTGGAACTCCTGTGACAACTCCTCTCCCATGGCTCTCTGTACTTCAAAGACTTCTCTTTAGACATGATTCAGTCCAGATCTTCAAAGTCTGCAGGAAAAGGACTAGCACTCATTGTCATGGTCTCTACTGTGTCCTCCAACCCCCTCTTCTTTATGTCGTTTTTGTTCCGTATTGACAGTATGATGCTTAGCATCACTCTCAGGATTTCAGTAGCATCTTCTCCTCTGTCAAAAGGCTACTGGGGATTGCAGAGAGGGTCTCCTGCTTGCCAGGCAAGGTTTCAACCACAGAGCTATATCCCCACTGACTTTCTTATCTGTATTGCGGATACTATCGTCCTATCAGTCTTTAGAGACTGGAATTCTGCTGGGCATCTTTAATTCCTTTGTCTTCCTTCTTAATGCCCTCTGCACAGTAGTTCTGTGAGGCCTAAACGAGAGAAGCCAGGTAATCACTGGGCACAGTCAACGCTTCATTATGTAACCTGGTAAATATGGCATGTGGTCCATCGGTACTGAGTGGTCTCCAAGTCTACCCTTCTCAAAAGCCACCGATACCCATCCTTGCTCTCCTGCTTGCCTTGTCCTTATCAAAGCCCACTGTCTCCCATCTGGACCTAAGATAGAAACTCTCTGTCATGCTTCCTATTTCTAATCTCTTTCCTCACTTCCTAGCCCATCTGGAATACAATATCCAAGGAGCACTGACAAGCAACTAACTAGATGGCCCAGCTACAGAAGTGCCCTTGCCTTCTTGCAGCCTCACCAGGAAACCAACCCTTTCTAGCCAGTGTCACCTTACAATTCTGTTGTGTCTCCTGTCATCTTGCTCCAGCCAGACCGCCAGAGAAGTCTTGGGCCATGCCCATATCCATTCCTTTGTAGATACCATTCCTTCAGCCTGGAAAGTCCCCATTGTCCCCAAATAGCAACCTTTCTTGTTGTGCAAAGGCCCCTGCCTCCATGAAAGGGTTGCTTGTGCTTCCTTTTCTGCTGTCCCAGCTCACATCCATTCCCTTCTGAGAGGTCCTGTTTGTCCCTTACTGTTTTTCCTATAGTCCCAATCCAGTGCTTCCTAGGTAGAAGCAACTCAATAAATATTCACTGACAGAAATTGAATACCTCTCTGACATTGAGGTGAGAGACATTTCTGTTTCATTCGGATGGAGAAAGACCGTGCATGAGAATTCTTTGGCCCACTCTTCATGCTTCCTGAGCCCTCTCAAATATCCCAGCTTGCATTTTCCCAGGATAATTTAATGGCATACACTTCCTGATTGGGCCTCTTTGACTTTCTAGTTCTAAAATACTTTACCTCACCCAGAAGCACCCCTATCCCAATCTTGTCTCTCAGTCTCCTAAAATTTAACTGTTCTCTTGTACAGAATGGTGTCTAAGCACTAAAAGCCCCAAGAGAATTGCTCTTGTGAAAGGTCGGATCTGTATCAGAGACCTCAAGCCCCAAGTAGAAAACACCATGCTAATCAACCAGTAAGTCGTCAGATGCAAAATGCTGTGTATACACAAATTGCACTGCATTGCAGTGTTCAGGCTACAAGTCCAAGCAGAATGTCCACCACATGCATGGGCTTACCAGCTTCACAGAGGCTAGAACACACTTAACAGCGGCAGGAGGAGCTCTGGGCAAGAGGGTGGTATTTCATGTGCATCTCAGCCAGTCTTTTGAAGTTTTTTTCTTCTTTTTTCCTTTTATTCTTTTGATTAGGCAGGCTAAAGCCCTCTTCGCGGCCATGTTGCTGGCATTAAAAAAAAAAAAAAGAAGCCACGTTATGGATCAGTAGTAGCAGTATTGTACATTTATCTCCTGTGAGCACAGCAAACCATCTGAGAACAGTTTATGAAGCAGAAACTCCAAGTTAACCCTTCCCTTGCTGTGGCATGCTGTAGAGTCTTGCCATATTGCAAACTTGGCTTCTTTTAATTATGCTCCTGGGGTTATTGGTACGCCAGGGATAACTTAGACAAAGGGAGTAAAAGGTGTGAAAGTGTCTCCTGGGTGTTTGGCATGACCTTTATTTACCCTAGGAGGTGGGTGTCCGCCTTGGAGAAGACTTTACAGAGAAAGGACTGAATGGCTTGTGGGACCTGAATCCCAAGACCTCGAATGTCTCAAAAACCCTGGAAAAGGACCCAGTGTTTCTGAACTGCAAACCCCGGCTATGTCTGGATTGTGTTTCTCCCGTACAGACCATTTTATACCTGCCTGCTTGTTGGCACCGCCCCCATCTAGTGTCTTCGTAAGTGGGCTGGACCCTTCATCAGAACTGAATGCTGCAGGAGTTCAAGCAGAGTTTCTCTTATGTGTTTGCTGAAATGATTTCCTCTCCGGTTGAGAGGAGAAATGGGGCGGAACTGCCTGTGTCGTAGGGTTACACGGCAGATGATCAGTGGAGTCAGGAGATTATTGATTCAATACTGTCGGGTTTCACCTGAGGAGCCCTGGTGAATTTTGACCTCCCAGGCCCGTTTTATGCTGTGTAAAATGGGATAACCAGGTCCTGTGAGGCTGCCTAGCACAAAGTAGGTTCTTTATGAATGCTGGTATTACTTCCATCCATCTATGCCGCCTTCCTCCACCCAAACTCTTAGGACTGATGGGGGACATTGAGTGATGAGTAAATATTCCTTATGGTCGCTTTCCTTCTCACATAGATGCTAGCCGTGTCTCCCTCTTTCATCTTTTGTGTAGTCCTGCTGTGTTAATATCACGTAAAAAGGAAGAGGGCATGGGGTTCTGGGATGGTACCTTCCTTCTCTCTGTGAAGCAGAGGGGGCAGAGGGAAGCATCCAGGTGTGATCGTGGGGACTTTTCCGTTTTCACTCAGGCTGGGCACTGACAGGCAACTTCAGTGCCTGGGTGCTTAGGGAACACCCAGGGCAAGGTCTAAGACTGCCTGCCCTACTCAGGCAGCTGGAGGGAGGGAGGGGACTGGCTGGTTCAGAGGCTGTCCTCCTCCTGGGAGTTAAAAGATTTTTTTTTGCCCCAGGAACAATATCTTGAACTTGCTGTATCTCAGGGAATGACTCACGCACTGGAAACGGGTGTAAACACAGGTGGAGGACCTGGGTGCCCCAGCATGATTGAAGGCCAGTCCTCCAGGCCAACTCTGGCATTCCATTGCTGAACGCTAAAGTTCAAAGGGATGTGCCGAGCCATTTGCCAAAGGCCTGGTCACTAGGGGCTAAGCAGGACCTGGACTCTCAGTATTGCTAGCCCTGCTCCAGGCAGCTTAGCCCACGCCCCTTTCACAACCCACCGCCCTCGATCTCATTATTGCACTCTGACCCCTTCTTCCGCGTTTCCTCCTTGTTCTTGCTTTCCCGCCAGGTCTCCCCAGGGTCGCCTGGATGGAGGGATGCAGAATGCATCTATCCCGACACACCTATGTGTGCGTTGTGGTTAAGGAAGGCTGGGAGTATCGGACTTCATCCAAACCCAACTGGGCTGAGCAGGGATTGAGCTGGGGACGCTCTGGGGGGCTCTGCTACGGGTCGAGGGGCGCCAAGGCTCGGACTAGGGGCGGAGCCTCGGGGTGGCGAGCGGGAGGGCGGGGCGCGGTGCGGAGTTCCGAAGGACCTGGGTAGGGAAGGCCGTCCTCCTGGCTGGTCTGGGGACGAGCGGAGTGGCAGGAGGGAGGCGCAGGCCCGGTGGGGACGCCGGGCACTGCCGAGCACTGCGGGGGTGCGGCGGGAGCCGGGCGGGCGGCGTCACCCGAGGCGGAGGGGGCGGAGCCGTGATCGCAGCTGCCACCCGGCCGCCGGGCCCAGGCAGAAGACAGCCGCCCGCGGCCGGGCAAGCTCTGCGCGCAGACACGCTACAGACAATGCTCCGAGGCGCCCGGAGGGGCAGCGGACGACTGGGCCACCGACGGCGAGGCTTCCGGAGTGCAGCCCCGAGGTGAGCCCACCACGCTCTCTCCAGATCCCCCTGCTTTTTGTCTGGCGAACGTGGCGGCCCAGGGGCTTTTGCGGTGTAGCTACTGTGGCCAGGCGGGCCAGCCCCTGCTGGCGTCCCCCGGGGTGACAGGCGACTGATCCGAGCGCACCGAGAGTCCGGACCGCGTGCGCCAGGTTGTGTCTTCCGTGCAGGCGCCGAGTCGGGAAGGTTGGGGAGTCGGAGGGGTGTTTTCAATTCATTCGAGAAACGTTCGCTTTGAAACCTGGAAACTTTTCCTTGGAGTTTCGGGAAGGGGGATCGTCTACTCTGATGGTTTTACTGGTCTGGCCATGCTGTTTTGTTTCTTTGGGACTGCTTTCCGCCGTGAGTATTGTCAAAGGAGCAGAGGAGCAGAGGCCGTCCGGGCTGCTCCTACCAGACCGGGAGGTGACGATTTAGGGGTTCAGATAAACCACCCCTAGGCAGCAGCGGAGATCCGAAGGAAGGTGATGCCCTTTTACCGAACCTTGGTGAGCATTCCATACCTGGAGCTGGCTCGCAACCTTTGCTTGTGCTGCCCCCTCTCCAGCTGGGCGCACACACCCACAGGAACCCGCATGCACACGCATGCACGCTTACACTTGGAAAACAGAATCTCCACTTGTGAGTCCTGGGAATGGGAATGGAGGAGCTGGGCATTCCCAGCCCACAGCGCTCGCTCAATCTGTCTGTTCTCCCAGGTAAGGCTCCAGGATGGTTTTGAAAAGCCAACTGCAGAGCCCAAAGGTCCAAGGGTGAGGAGTTCTGCAGGGATTCAGTCCAGAGTCAGGTTGCGAAGGTTGAACTGATCGGCTGCTTTCAACTCTTCTTTATAGCTCCTGAGGACACTTGACAGCCCCTGGGAAAGCAAGTTGGCGTTCCTGGGGTCAGAACTTTGCTCCCCTTACTGGTTCCAACTGTAGAGGCTGCAAGTTCGTATTCCTCCTGCTGAGTTAGATTGCTCAGCAATGGAGAATGCAGAAAATAAGAAAGTTATGTAAATTTAGTCATTTACCTTCTGTGTCTAGCAGGGGAGATGTTTGGGTGGTCACCTGCTTTCTGCCTGACCACTCTGGCCAATGAAATACAGTGCAATCTAGATACTTTCCTCACGTACTTTTTTGGGTGTTGCATTAGTTTTTCTTTAATTTAAAGCAATTAATGTTAATTTATTTGTAAAAATATAATGGAATTATTAATATTAGAATGTTTCTGGAATTCTTATCGGGGTAAGGAATAAGCAAATTTGGATGCAAATAGGAGGAGTATTTGGAGCCAAAATACTTAATTTAATGGATCTGGCCACCCTGATTCCTCAGATTCTTTTTGAGATAGGGTGGGAGTGTATCTGACAGCTCAGCCTTGTAAATTGTAGCCGCAAACCTGGTGCAGAAGTTTGCAGAGGCAAAGCTATTTTATCATGACTTGGATCACAAAGAATGTGAGATCCTTTTTCTAATCTTACACTGCAGCCTCCCACTGAGAAATGGGAGAATTTGCATAATTCTGGGGGCCGCCTACCCTTTGAGGTAGGAATGTGAGCCAGAAAGGTACCATTCCCAGGCTCTGGAGAGCTGGCACTACCCAGGGCTCTCTGCTCCAGCTTTGTCAGTGTCGCTTACATGTTTCATCATTTTTTCACTGAAAGCAAATAGGAGACAGTCCCAGGCACAGAAGTGCAACTCCAGGAGGCTGTTCTAGCTCCATAGACAAGGTGGGGATTTCTGTTTGCAGCGACTGAGAAACCAGCTTTAACAGGACACAGTGAGTCAATGATGGTGGGGAGCCCAGGGTTCCCTTTGTTTCTTTTATTCAGTGACTGCCCCTTAAAATTCTTTGTGTTTCTGCCAGTTGTGTGGTCCACGTTGTGGTCAGCATGCAGAAAAACGCCAGGTTTGAGGAAGAGAGCAAAGAGAGAGCTCATAAATTAGTGAAGGGTCTCAAGGTAGCTTCTGGCAAGATAGTACAGTAGTCAGGAGCCTGCTGAACATTCCGGGCTGCCAGAGGCAATGCCTACCAAGAAAAGGAAGGAGGGACCTTAGAAAGTGGGGTGTCTGGGTGTTGTGGATTGCCTGCTGAAAAGGAAATGGTATGTGGCCACTCAAACTGCTTCTGTTGTGAGTGTGTGGCAGCCTCTGAGGAAGTGGTTGGATGCCAGCCTCCTCAGCTCCCCCAGCCTGACCAGGAAGCTGAGGAACCCCAGGAAGATGCTGTCCATGCTCTCTCCTCAAAGCCCACTGAGGGGCACTGGAGCCTTGTCTACAGTAGACATGGACCTGAACAGACAGTAGCAGGTCCAACTCAGCTTCTCTGAAGACCAAGATATTTCCTCCCCCACCTCCCCCTACCCCTGCCCCTGTGCCCCTTACGAAATTTAGCAGCAAGACTATAGCTCTCTGGGGCTGGTGGCTGTAGGAGAGAAACATAATCATGATTCCTCTGCTTGTTGAAAACCTGTGACCTCTTCTGGAAGATTTGGCAGAGAAAGAACCTGCTATTTGGGTGTGTTGGGAGAAGAGTCTAGTAGCTTCATTAAAGAAAGAACTTACAGTGACTGTAGAAACATGCCAATTTCAGAGTGTTCATTTAGCTTAATGAGGAAGCCATTTCCTCGTGAACTGGCTGGAGTAGGGGTACATCTGGCTTCTATACTCATCTATGAGTGTGGGAGACGAGGGCCGGAGGGATTCCCACAAGGAGTCTGGAATGATCTTTGGAGTTCCCGGTGATTGTATCTGGCTGGTCCTGTTGATTGTTTAGAGAGAATTAACCTCAGGCAGATTCCCACCAGAAGAGGTGGTGTATAACCCCCAAGACAGCGCTTTCCCTGTGTAAGGAGAATCTGTTCATCTCAGGATTGGCCACAAGATTTTTTGTCTGGAGTGCTCGGCTCAAGGATGCCAACTCCTCCTCAGCAAAGAAAAAAGGTGCAGTGAGCAGCAAACAGATAAAAGCAAGCTGCTTGGTACCCTGAACAAGGTGGGTGGGGGAGGGAGCATTCCAGTTGGGTTGGTTTGTCTTCCTAGCCCAGCAAACTTGGTGTCCATGGCCAGGTCCCAGTCTTGGCCATAATATCTGCACCTGTAGAATGGGATTCACAGCTACCTTATAAGGATGCTATTTGGATTATCTGGGTGACGTCATAGCCCTTTGAACTCTTCCTGATGAGTGAATTTATTGAGGACTGTGGGAGCGAATTGGGCTTTTATATTTATTTTCAGAACCAATGAGCTGTCTTGACAAGGTGACCACTTCTCCCCAGGGGTATGATAGGGAAAACCTATTGGATAGATAACCTCTGTCCAGTCTCTCTTAGGCCAGGACTGTGGTGTCAGGCATTTCTGTCTTCTGTTTCCCACTTGGCGTGTAGAGAGCCCTGCTTTGTTTACCTTAGCACAGAGCTGAGTGGGGCAGGGACAGGATTCCCATGATGCCAGGTGTCCTGACGAGGTGTCCCAGGGGGACAGGCTAGCACCGCATCTCTCCCCTTTTTCAAAAACTTTTCACAAATATAGATAACAGTTTTCATTCCAGAGTCCTTACCTGCTTCTCTTCCCATTTGGTTTTTGTTCAAAACCTGCATGCCATTACCTATGAACCCTAGATTTTATGTGTGGTATAACTATGTGGTTCTTGTTCTTGGGTTGCGCCCCAGGCTTTGGGCACTTTAATTTCTGGAAGAATGTAGGGACTAGGTGCAGGCTTCTCATATTGAACTCTAAAACACTCAGTGTTTGGAGAACTAAAATGTTGTGTGTGTATGTATGAATGTGTGTTTATGTATGCATGCGTGTATGTGTGTGTGTGCATGCGCGTGCCACACACACATGTGAGGAGGCCAGACATTGACATTTGGTGTCTTCATCTATGGTTGCACACTTACTTTTGAACCAGGATGACTCACTAAACCTGGAGTTCATTGATTGACAAGACTGCTTGGCCATCAAGACCCTGGGAGTCTTCCTGTTTCCACCGCCCAGCTCTGGGATTACAGACGTGTACAATACCATCATGCCCCGCTTTTCAATGGGTGCTGGGGATCTGAACGCAGATTCTCACACTTGCACGGCAAGCATGTTACCCATTGACCTCTCTTCACACGCCCCGAATGTATTGTCTATTTGAGAAAAGGGGCATTGCTGGTTTGTAGAGTTTCTAATAAATCTTCCCGGCTAAGGAATATCAAAGAGCTTGTGACAGCTGAGCACAGGCCCCAGAAAGCACGGACTGGTCCCCCTTGGCCACCTTTACTCCTTTACTGTCTTCTTCCTTGTCTCCAGTCTCTTATTGCTAACCACACAAGGTGGGGTCAGTTCCTAATCAGGTAATGCTAATCTCCTTCCAGGGAGCTGATCCAGAACCCATCTGTGCCTCCTACAAGACCACATCGGAGAGCCAGGCCCAAGATGAACCCGCATCCTATTGGCTCACAGTGCTCCAGACCATTCGACTGAACCCCGAGAGCCCAAAAATGTCTGCGTGCAGTGACTTTGTGGAGCACGTCTGGAAACCTGGATCCTGCAAGAACTGCTTCTGCTTACGGAGCGACCACCAGCTAACAACTGGCCATCCCAAGGCTCGAGCAAGCAGCCTACCCGCCGTGACTCGCCTGCCTGCCCGGCCCGAGAACTGCCGCCTAGAAGATGACGGCGTGAATGGCTTCTCCTACTCAAAGCCCACAATTGCTGTAAAGCCCACCATGATGAGTTCTGAAACCTCCGACTTGTGGGCTGAGGCCAGCCTGAGCGCTGAAGTCCCGAAGGTGAGTCTGACTAACCCAGCTGGTATTTTTACAGGGGCTGCCGTTCTGATTCTAACACATGCTGGCTGGCTGGCAGCCAGAGAGGGCTGTTGGAGCAAGAATCCTGCAGGATAGTTGCCTACTGGCTTGCCCTGAGGTTGCAGTCCCCCTGGCAGCTGCTATTTGTCTATTGCTATCTACTGTTCTAGTTCATTCTTTAGGCTAATATCTATTAGTCCGGTATGGCAGGGTTCTCTCCTGATTTGAAGACTTAGTAAGGGAAATGGAAAACAAAGAAAGACAAAAGCTTGGAATTGTTGGCTGTAACCTTACGCATTTACAGAAGCAGCAGCGGTAGCAGCAGCACCCTCCACAACGAGCTTCTGCAACCATCAGCCCATGCCCAGGGTCGTTTCATCACTCTCTCCTCCCACTTCCCTTCCCTGTGCATTGCAGAGGAAACTGTAAGCACATATATCTAAACAACAGAGCTTGAGCAGATAGAACCACAATGCTCAGTCACATCTAAGAGAGCAGCAAAACGGTCCCTTATAATTATTTACTACTCAGCCACTGTTCATGCTTGTAGCTTTTTCTTTTTAATTTATATGTGTGGGGGGGCATATGTGTGTGTGGTGTGTGTGTGTGTGTGTGTGTGTGTGTGTGTGTGTACCTGTGTGGGAGCTAGAGGTCTACTAGGGTTTCTTGCTGAGTGTCTCTCTACCTTTCTATCCATTTGTTTGTTTATTTTTAAAGATTTATCTATTTAAATCTCATGTGCATAAATATTTTGCTTGCCTGTGTGTACACCATGTGCATGCCTGGTGTCTGCAAAGGCCAGGAAAAACTTTCAGATCCCCTGGAGCTGGAATCGCGGATGGTTGTTGGCTGCCCTGTGGGTGCGGGGAACTACCAAACCTAGGTCCTCTGGAAGAGTAGCATACTCTTATCCTCTGGGTGTCACTCCTGCTGTCCCTTCTGCCTTACTTTTGAGGAGTTCATTGTTTCTCAGCTAGATTGACTGGACAGTGAGTCCCCGGCATCTGCCTGTCTCTGCCCACTCCCCCTGCACTGGGGTTACAGGTTTGTAACACCACACCCAGCCTCCCAGAATGCACTTCTGGGTATCTGTATTCAGGAGTGCAACATTGCATAGCATTGAGTCATCTCCCAGGCCCTCATACTTCTAGTTTTGAAGTAGGGGTTTAGCCAGCGCTATCTAGGACCACTAAACATTTATATCCCCAGAGGTTAGAGCTTTCTTCATCTCCTGAAACGAACCCTTAGAAAGGTGTAATTACGGGGAGGGTGTGTGGGCCAGGGCTGCTGGAGGCTGCTGTCTGTGGACATGTCTTGAAACCGTACGCCTAAGACATTCTAAGAACTCTAGTCCCGCCATGACCTCTTCTAGTGTCCTGGATTTCCTCAGCCACTGTGGTGCATGGATCGGGAAGGGCGTGTGAGTGTATGGGAAAACAAAGGTCAGCTTTAAATCTAGAGAAGCTGGTGTGAAGAGAGGCATTTCCTGTGGTGGCAGCAAGCTCCATGTCTTTTTATGAACTGTTCCATTCTCCCTGAGCTGGCTACACCCATTCACCCAGCCAGCCTTGACGCCTTCAGTTTTCACCTGTGTAAGCAGTGACTCTGTGTTCAGAATGCCCTGGGTAAGAAGCCCCATGCAAGCCCTGCTTTGAGGCTGTCTGTAAAAACGGGAGTGGGTAAGAAGGGAAGGAAAAGGACAGTAAGTTTGTCGACAGGAATGATCAGGTCACATCTTAGTTTTGTTGCCTGACTAGTCCAGCCACTGGAACTTTGGAGCGGAGCTCATGGCAGAGAGGGCAGCCGTGTGGCATGGCTCAAATGGAAGGCTATCAAAACTCCAGGAAACCTGGACCCAGCTCAAAAACCATCCCTCTGCCTCCTGGTCTGCACCTACTTCTCATATGAGGTGTTTTTTAAAAAATCATTCAGGAGCTGGGTAGTGGTAGCACACACCCTTATTTCCAGCACTTGGGAAGCAGAGGCAGGCAGATCTCTGTGAGTTTGAGGCCAGCTTGGTCTACAGAGCAAGTTCCAGGATAGCCAGACCTGTTACTCAAGAGAATTCCTGTCTGAAAATACAAACAACAATCAGTCAAACAAACACAATCATACAGGGGGCCTGGAGAGAGGGCTGCTCTTCTAGAGGACACAGGCTTGATTCCCAGCACCCAAGTGTGCACTCACAAAGTCTATGACTCCAATTCCAGGAACTCCGATGCTCTCTTCTGGACCCTTGGGCAGCAGGCACTCACATGGGATGCTCACACCCACGTGTAGCTAAAACACCCATACACACAGAATAGCAAAATAATTTTTCTAAAGAAAGAAATAAAATCATTATGACTTGTTTCTTCAGGAACATGACATAGCTGGGTTATCCAGTGACCACCAGCAGAAGGGAAGACTAAACAAAATTTCAAACTCTTTCCAATCCGGTGGAATTCTTTTACCTGGCCATTGTGTATTTTCACTCTTTCAGTTTTTTGATTTTGATCTTTCTTACCAAGCAGACATCCTGGGTGGGATGCATATAGCTCAGTATCTAGAAAGATAGATGGCTCACTGGGTACCCTAATCATGACCGGTGTTCCACTGGGAAGGTCAAAGGTGGGCATGGGCATTGTTTCCCCAGGATCCTAGCATGGACCTGCATGCTGTCCGAGACAGGTGACAATGTTAGTACTCGCTTTTCACTTTTTCTCTCTTCTCCCTACTCTGATAAAAGGATAACATGCATTGTTTTTAACCCTGGGGCTGTGTAGGTCAGCTGGAGAAGAGCCCCAGGCAAGCTCCCATTCCAGAAACAGGAAGATGGGCCGATAGTTTACCTAGGCAGCTTCCGAGGAATGCAGAAGCCTTCAGGCACCCTCGCCTGCACAGATGGCAACTCTTGTCCCCCAGCCTACACCATGGTTGGACTGCACAACCTAGATGCCCGAGTGGACAGGAGCACCGCCTTTCAACCTGTAAGCTTCCAGGAAGAGAAGGCTGGGAGGGAAGATCTGCCCTCGGCTCAGCAGAGCTTCCGCCAGAAGCTAGCTGCCTTTGCAGGGATGACATCCAGCTGTTCCAAGGGCCCCAGGCCCTGCCCTTCTCCACAGCCCCCGAGGGAGTCCCTGCCCTCAGAGGATGACAGTGACCAAAGGTGCTCACCCTCTGGAGACAGCGAAGGTGGAGAGTACTGCTCCATTCTGGACTGTTGTCCGGAATCCAAGGATGCTGTGCATAACCCTGAGGGCTCTGGCAGACGTGGCGGGGATCTCTCACCCATGTGCTGGGAGCAGGGGACATGTACAAGACCCACAGAAGAGGAAAAGCGACTTCTGGACTTCCCCAGAGAGTGTTGTGGCCAGGGATCCACCACGAACCCTCCCCGTCTGGGTCCCAAGAAGCTATCCCTTAACTCGGAGGCTGCCAGCTCTTCAGACGGCCTGTCCTGTGGCAGTGGCAGCAGCGGTGCCAGCAGCCCCTTTGCTCCCCACCTTGAGAATGACCACTGCTCTCTTGTGAAGGAACCAGCTGCGGGGAAGCAGCAGGACTCCGGTTGCCATGGGATCACCTCTGGCAAATGTGTGGGGCAAGTCGGGGAGCTCCAGCCCCCAGCCCTTCCCAGGGAGGCTGTGCAGCCTGAACCCATCTATGCTGAAAGTACCAAGAGGAAGAAGGCGGTGCCCGTGCCTTCAAGGCCCGAAACCAAGGCAGAGCAGGTAGCCGCTGGCCACAGCCAGGGCCAAGTATGGACAGGTGACACCTGGGCTCAAAAGACTTCAGGCACAAATATGCCTCCTCAGGTGGCAACCACCATCACTGTCATTGCTGCCCACCCAGAAGAGGACCATAGGACTATCTACCTGAGCAGCCCTGACTCCGCAGTGGGGGTGCAGTGGCCAAATGGGCCTTCGAGCCAGGACGCACAGGCTGGTGAAGAGGAACCGTTGGCTATGCAGGGGCTAAGCTCAAGGGAGAGCCATCCACATAATGTGACTGAAAACACGCCCAAAGAGAAGCCCGCCATTCCTCCTAAGCTGTCCAAAAGCAGCCCGGGAGGGTCCCCAGCGTCACCCGCAGCCTCCCCTCTGACTGACCACAGCGATGGGAACGTTGGTGGCAGCTGCGCGGGACCCCAGCCTTTGTCTAGAGTTCCAACTAACAGAACTTCTTCCTGCCAGACCAATGGTGTTGCTGCCGCCGCCGGGGACCCTGCCAAGTGTCCCCCACCAGCCACCTCCTCTTCGGCCTTGGACCAGAGACGACCAAGATACCAGACTGGTGCTTGGAGCCGCCAGTGTCGGATAGAGGAAGAAAACGAGGTAGGGCAGGAACTGTTGAGTCAAAGTTGGGGGCGAGAAGTGGAAAATGGTACCACAGACCATTCAAACTCCTCTACCTGGCACCGGTTCCATCCCACCACCGACGGCTCCTCTGGGCAGAACAGCAAAGCTAGCTCTGGGATGAGCAAATCGGCTTCCTTTGCCTTCGAGTTCCCCAAAGACAGAGGCAGGATGGAGGCATTCTCACCACCGCCCCCACCTCCAAAGTCAAGGTGAGTACCACTGCCTGTATGCAAAGAGTCCTTAGAATAAATGCACCAGTCTGTAGGGCCTTTCCCAGAAATCCTTGCTTTTGCTGCCTCTCTGGAAAGCCTATGGCCCATTCTGGAGTGCTGGCTGCTAGGCACCAGTGTCTGCCCAAAGGCCATTGTGCATTATGTAAATTTCCCAGAGCCCCAGCTCAGCCTTGAGAAAGCAGGAACTCTTCGCATGGTGTGTGTGCTCTGCAAACAATCCTAAAACCCCCGCATGTGGACTGGCTATTTGTAATGAATCTTACAAAGCAAAGAAGCAGGGGAGGGTGGGGGCTGGGGAGCTGGCTGTTGGGGCTATAGCTCAGGGGCACAGCACTAGTAGCAGATGCTAGGTTGTGCCCTTTTGATCTTTAGCACTGTTGAAAAAGAAAGGAAAGGCTCTTGGGGCCTCGGTGTGATCAAGTTCAGTGACATAGCCCATGCTTAGGCTGAGTGAAGCCTGGGGCTGGATCCCCAATGCCAGGACACCAGGCAAAACAACACTACCAAGTTGTTGTTCGCTCTGCCACTTTTTTTTTAATCTACCTCCTCCTCCATCTCTAAGGTATCTCCACAGTGTTTTCTTGAAAAGCTCTGAAAGGTCTTCTGTTGCACCTTAGCAAAGAGGACTAAAAGTGGATGGATGGGGTTACACTTTAGGAATTAGGTAGGTAAAGCCAAGAATGTACCCAATAAACTATTACTGCTGTAGGAGGCCTTAGGGAACTTTTTTTTTCTTTTAAGGAAGCTCTGCACATGGTTAATCACCTCTGATGTGGGTTTTTCAAGGATGGGGGAAAGTACAGTTTGGGGTCAGCATGCTGAAGCTCACAGCTTTTTCCATCGCCTTGCTATTCTGCTGCTAGCTTAACGTGCCTTTCAACAGCTTCAGGGAAATAAATGTCTTTTCTAAGCTATTGAACTGTGGATGGAATTTAAGTTCTGGGGAACTTTTTTCTCCCCCTTTTGGTGAAAGCAAAACTGATTTTGAGCGAGAAAGGAGCAACCTGCTGTTGCAAAAGCCAGGCTTTCCGAATGGTCTCTCTAGACCTGTGACTGCCCGTGTCCTGTGTGAGCAGCAACCTCTAGGTCGCTTTCACAAGCAAGGGAATTGGCCACAGAGAAAAGCTGCTGGGACATTTGGCTTTGAACATCAAGGCGTTTTAGACTGTGATGTGATCTAACACCTACTTGCTCTCATGACCACTGCTCTGTTCTGGTATTCCATTAGCTACCCACCATTCAGTATTGATACCTTCCAGAATCATGGGTACTTGTAGACTCGGCCGGGTCCCTTAGCTACAGTTTTTAACTCCCTGAAGGAATGCATGGTTCAGTAGCAGATTCCCAAAAGGGAATCTTAACGTGTGCCTGACACCCATTTTTCTAAATTATTTTCTCTACTTATCTGTGTGTTTGTGCCTATGTACATGTTCTGTGGTCACAGGGCAATTTGTATGAGTCAGTTCTATTGGTTTCTGTGGCTGACAGGCTTTGTAGTAAGTTCCTTTACCAGCCAAGCCAGCTCCGGTTCTAAACCCATTACTGAAATGAAATGAACAGAGTTCACCAAGGAGGTTAGTCATATTATTCAGGTTAAAGGTGCCATGGGGTGTCAAGTGTGACAGTGGCAACCCTATCTTGTAGGAAGCAGCCTGACCCAGTCCTGGGAATACCAGTCAAGTCTTAGAAAAGTAACTACAAATTCTCACTTAAGAGTCATAGGATTTGGAGAAGTCTTGATAACCATAGCAACATAACTCAGAAAGGGTTTTAATTAGCATCTAGGGTGAATTAAGAAATTCTAGATCCAATATGCTATGACAAGCCTTTGGGTTTATGTGGCTTAAATAGGGTATGGAACTCGGGCATTCTGGATTCCATTTTCTCAAGAACAAACAAAAAACTCAAAGCCACAGCATTCAATTTAGAGTAAATCAAAGTAGTTCATTTGGGGAAGCATTCTTGTTTTTCGTGTGTTGCTGGCATTGTCTTCTGTCTCTTTACATCTCTTCTAGGAGTAGATAGAGGGCAGGCTTAGGACTATAAACTGGCTGTGAATTCTAGAACTCACTATGCGTTGAATTCTTTTAAGAAAGAGTGCTAAGGACCCCGATGTATTCTCACCTCAGAAGTCAAACTGTAGGCCAATGATAACCTCAGGGGTCACACAGCCCCAGCTGAGTCAATACCAATCATGGGGTGCATCGATAATTAGGGAAGATGATATCGGTTTTCCAAGACGGAAATTGTGGAGCATCTTCAGGCAACATGGAGGGTTAATCCGATTTCCATGCATAGGGCCAGGCTTTGTTTCTAGTGACCAGCCTCGTTATGCATGTTGTGTCTGCTTAGCCACCTAGACAGAGGTTGCTTCATACAGGATTGTGTCATGTTCTACCTACACGGTGTGGAGAAACAGACACAGATTCACCTGCTTCCTGACCCCTCTTTTAAGAGGAGTGGCTTGACTTTCTACAGGTCCTATATTGAATGTTAAATGAGTAGCTTATCTATCTGTTTGAGGTATTTAACCTCCTACAGTAATGTTTTTGTTTTTGTGTTTTTTCTTTTGCAAGATGGACTCTCCAAGCCTATTTAATGTGCCTTTCTTGGCCAAGTCTGGACTCTTTCTTACTGACTGCTGCCAAGGCAACTACCTACACCCAGAGACTTACACGGCTTAGGATGATGGACCTTACCAGGTTTCTGGGTCACCTTGTCCCAGTTCAGGGAAGGATTGTTAAGATAGGGATGGACAAGTACTGTTGGTTGTTGGCTAGGAAACAAACAAAAAGAAACTGTGGGCAAAAAGCGTGGGCTGTGTGTGCGTGCATTCGCACTTCACCTTCAAGACTTGAGGCAGTGAAGGGAGAGCAGCAGCACCTGGGCAAATGATTAAGGTGCACGAGAATCCGATTTCTTTCTGCCTTTTGTTTCTGGGCGGATGCAAGTCTGGTTTGACATGAGTTAGGACTTTTGAGAGACAAGGTCAGTAGAAGTCTATTTGTCTGGTTAGGACCAGCAGGCAAGCAGTTCACAAAGAGACCCAAACTAGAAGGGTAGGCCCTTGCTTAGTGGTGGAGTTGATGGTGGGTTAAGAAAACAAGTGGGTTTATGTTTCTGCATGGTCTGGGTACGAGTAAGGTTAACCCAGAGAAAAGTTTCCCATGAAAGGAGGAGATATTTTTGTTTCCATGTCACCAATTTTCTGTTTAATCCACTCCATGGAACATTGTTCTTTCTCTTTGGGGGATGCTAGGAAGCAATACTGACATCAACAGTGGAGTTTCTTTCTGTCCATGAAGGCAGCCTCTCTAGCGGGAGGAACTGACATAGCTTCATTGTGTGGTCTCTCTTCTGAACATGGTCACACAGCATGACCCCAAGGACAGGAAGGCCATGAGTAAGATGGCTATTTGTGATGGGGGAACTCCTTCTGTGTGTATGTTTGTCTTATTGGTTGATAAATAAAGCACTGTTGGCCAATAGGGAAGCAAGATAGGTGGGACTAGGAGTCGAGGAGGATTCTGGGAAATGGAGTCAAGAGTAACACTTTATTTCAGCCCCACTTCGTATTGTAGTGAATTATAGGCGATGATACCAATGTCTAGGAAGTCTTGAGACTCCATGGGCTCATCTGGGTGGCAATTTGAAAGATCAGTTTGTATTAGGAAGCACTGTGTATAGAGAATGCTCTCTAACTATGTGTAGTCTTTCTGGCCATGTTTAAATAAGAGGTGGAATTGGGTCAGGGAGAACGCATACTGGGCATATTCTGTGAGAGAAACTCCACACCCTCCACACAGTTTAGCAAATGGAACAAGGCACATATGTCAACCATGAAGTTTGTACTCCACCATGCCATAGGCAGGCCAGAAGTTGATCCCTTCCCATGAGCTTGTAGACAGAATCTAGAAGCAGGGCATCTCACACACCATAAGCAGGACGTATTAAAATTAATTCCTGTCCTCTTGGTTTATGATTTTTTAAACAATTTCTGACTTGATGAATATATATCCAATATACATAATATAATCTTTAAAGAAATTCTATGCAGCTTTGAGCACATGTCCTTGACTATAAGTTAGATAATCTTTAAATCATTGGACATCTACTAATGACTTTTTCAAGCTGCTAAGAGTCCAGCCACAGGGTTTTTGTCTCTTGGGTTCCGAGGGTGTCATCAGTGCGAAATAAATGAGCAGGTGTGCAGTCTGACCCCCAAAGACCACCCCTGCTTTGACTTCCCTTTGATGAGACTGTTTCTCATAGATCTGGGTTTTAACCACAGCCTGTGCTCAGCCACAGAGCCATGAACTCAGCGCAGCGTGCAGGGCTCACTGACAGCCCTCTTCTTCACACCCTGTTGATGTCACTCTCCACAAAAGCGCCTGCCTTCTTCCTTGACACAAAATAGGTGCTCAAGAGACGTTGACCAAAGAGGCAAATAGCTTGGACTACGAAGCGTCCTGAGCCTAGGTCTCTTGGTACCCTGTTCTCTGTTCACACCTCGCTCTGGGAGGGCAACACAGTGTGCCTTGCATTGCACTGAAATGTGGCCCATGTTCTCAGCTGCTCAGGAGACTGTAAAGTCCTGAGAGTGCATGAGTAATGTTTCATGTGTTCTTGCTTAGCATTTCCGACACATCCTTTAGCACGGAGCCAGCTATACAGTAGACGTTCAGTGCAGAATCAATTTTTTAAAAAAGTTATTATGGGCTGGAGAGATGGCTCAATGGTTAAGGGTGTTTACTGCTCTTAGAAAAGACCCAGATTCAGGTCCCAGCACCCATTCCAGTTACAGAGGGTCTGACACCCTCCTCTGGCCTCCACACGCAAGCTGTACATAATTCACTCAGGCCCGCACAGTACACATAACATTACATAAGTAAACATTAAAAAGATTGCTGTGTGAGGTGTGTGAACGTGTGTGCCGTGCTTTGTGTGTAAAGGCCAGAGAACAATGTTGTGGAGCC